GTGTGTGTGTGTGTGTGTGTGTGTGTGTGTGTGTGTGTGTGTGTGTGTGTGTGTGTGTGTGCACATATCATTTCCACAGGACTGTTTTACTTACCTGGCTATTTTCCTCATCTTTACAACCTTGTTGAATATGGAAGAAACTGGACCAGAGCTCAGGAATACTGCAGGAACAAGTATACTGACCTAGCCATTGTACATAATGAGCAAGACTTGGCCAAACTGAGGAACCTCACAGAAGGGTTTTCTAATGTGTGGATTGGACTTATACCTGACACTGAAGCATGGAAGTGGTCTCTGGAAAACCAGGATTACTATGGTGAAGGGGAGACTGAGTTCAGGATGTGGAATGATGGGGAACCCAATGGTTTAGGACACCATAAAGTTTGTGCAGCAATGCTTAAAAATGGGAAATGGGCAGATGTAGAATGCAACAGCCAACTGCCATTCTTCTGCTACAATAAAAGTAATTAAATACAATATGCATACTGTATATCAGTGTCCTGATTATTATCATGACTATCATTGTAATCTCAAATGGAGGTGATGAATAAGTAACACAGATGTATAGCTCATTTGAATTCTTTGGCTGAGCAGTGAAGTTAGACCCTTACTTATGTTTCTTTGCTCAAATGTTTTCAGACACATCACGCTTCATATTTGTGAATATGAGTAACACCTGGGAGGATGCTCAGAGCTACTGCAGAAAGAACCACACTGACCTTGCCAGTGTGAGAAACCAATCTGAGAATGAAGAGCTGAAAAAGATAACAGTGAGTTCCTACACGTGGATTGGACTATACAGGAATTCCTGGAAGTGGTCGGATGGAACTGCACAGTTATTACACAACTGGGATCCTGATAAACCATCCAAGATAGCCACAGATGCATGTGGGACTATATTTAGAGGCAAGTGGGTCAACTATCATTGCGGTGCAAACTGGTACTTTGTCTGTTATACTGGTGAGTTCTGATTTTACTGTATTTTTAATATATTCTGATATTTTCTTTAGTCTCAGAAGATCGTTACATCACAGCATTTTTTTCCCTCATTCTTTTTTCATAAACTCAGCACTCAGGGAGAGGAAGGTGCTGAAGATTAAGCTGAAGAAAACGGACCCCTCTGTGGAAATGGAGGACCTGGAGGAGGAAATCTTGGAAAAGGTCATACCTGAGTTTCAAATAATATTTACCTATAATGAAAAAAATAAACGTTTTACTCAAAGAAAGTCTTTATAACAGGTATGTGATATCAAAAATAAGACTGACAGCAAAACCGACATGAAATTAATCTTTTTTAAATAGATGAATATAGTAATAAAAATAATGATAATTCAAAATGTTATCAGGTGCCTCAGCATTTTTCAATTTAACGCAGTTAGCAGATCACAAAATATGTGCCCAAAACTGAAATCTGGGGCCACTTCCTGTATTGCAAGTGGCAACAAGGACCAGAGACAGTTCAGTGCATACTGCATTGCAGTCTTCAACATCTAAGTGAAATGCTTAAGGTCTTCTTGAGACTTTAGGATGAGAGTGAGTCCAGTCCAGTTTATTGTTCAGATAAACACCAAGGTACCTGTAGCTGTCCACAGCCTCAATGTCCATACCTTGGATGTTATTTGTGCCTGCGGAAGTCTACCACCAGCTCCTTGGTTTTATTAGTGTTGATCTGGAGGTAGTTCAGCTGGCACCACTCCACAAAGTCTTGGGTCAGTCCTCTGTACTCCTTGTCGTCCCCATCAGTGATGAGGCCGACTATTACAGAGTCATCAGAGAACTTCTGCAGGAAGCACTGGGTGGAGTTGTGGGTTAAGTCTGCAGTGTGATGGTGAAGAGGAACGGAGCCAGAACCGTTCCCTGTGGGGCGCCCGTACTGCAGACGACCCTGTCCGACACACAGCCCTGAGTTCTCACATACTGTGGTCCGTCGATGAGGTAGTCCAAAATCCAGGTAGAGAGGTGATGGTCCACACCTGAGTTCTCCAGCTTGTCCTTCAGGACTGTGGGCAGGACGGTGTTGAAGGCACTGGAGAAATCAAAGAACATGATTCTCACAGTGCTCCCAGCGGTCTCCAGGTGAGAGAGGGAACGATGCAGGAGGTGAATGACGGCATCATCCGCTCCAATGCCAGGCTGGTAGCCAAACTGAAGAGGGCCCAGTGATGAGATCACCAGGCGCCAAAGCTGAGCCAGGACCAGCCGCTCCAGGGTCTTCATCAGGTGGGATGTCAGAGCCACTGGCCTGTAGCTGTTGAGGTCCTTGGGGCATGAGGTCTTTGGCACTGGTACAACATAGGAGGTTTTTACAGAGCTGTGGGACTCTCCCCAGCCTCAGGCTCAGGTTGAAGACGCACTCCATCACCCAACACAGTTGGTCTGCGCAGGACCTGACAACCCTTGAGCTGATACCATCTGGACCCGCTAACTTCCTGACTTTAATCCTCCTCATTTCCCTCCTAACCTGGGTGGTGAGAAAGACAGGCTGGAGCCTTGTGTTGAGTTGTTTTGGATGCTGTTGTTGGGGATGGAGAGGAGTGAGCAGGGTGAGTAGAGGAGGTGTGAAGTGTCAGAGGTGGAACAGCAGCAGTGGGGGTGGGTGAGTCTGCAGCCGATGTTGAAGACTGCCTCATGGATGTGAAGCTAGTCAGAGCCTTTAACACTGTCTTATTCTGACTGAGCATAAAGATATGAATCGTAAGTGGGAAATAGATACCAATTAACACCTCACCATAAAAAAAGATCAGAATAGAGGTGGAAACCGTTCGTGAACCCCTAAGGGGAAACCACACCTATGCACGGCACAGGGGATTTGCCTCCAGTTGTGGTGTGCGTTGAGGAAGGCAACATATTTTACACATTTTCTTCATTTCGTCACTTTTTTTATTCATAGATCTGGGCAAACTGCACAATAAAGCTAATTTGAAAAGTCCAGTATTTGAAAAGTAAAAGCATACTGCTAAAAATACAAAACTGAGTTTAGTAATAATCTTTTTATAGAAGCCAACTAAAATATTGAAGAACAAACATTATTTACTGAAAATGTACTTAAAGTACAGTTTTGTTAATGTGTAGAAAGTGATATTTAAATGTCATCATTATAATTACATGTTCATCAAGTGATGAAGCTCTTTCTTTACTTGTAGGTAAATGATTTATTAAAACGTTTTCCCACAGACAAGTCTCATTAATCAGAGATATTTAAAGATTCAACAGGATATTAATGAAGCATTTATGTTTCACAGTTCAGACAGAGACTGACAGAGCATGGCCCGAGTGGAGTCTTCAAACTGCAATGGGTGAAGCAGCCTGATGGGAAGAAGCATGTTGAAGAAGAGGAGGAAGTAAAAGAGGCAAACTGTGGGGTCAAATAAAACATTTCATTATCCACATTTGATTATTGAATTCTCCTATTCAGGACATATGTGTAATTGGTTAGGTTAATATTCTTACAGTAAGGTACAAGTTTTTACTTTAGCAATGAAGCTTATGCATAAATTCAATAAGTAAGATCAGTCATCAGTCATCTGCCTGCTTTCTTGGGTGTTCAGCTGCTTTTCTGTTTACATGTCTACTGCTTTCTCACACTGTCAATCTCAATACTGACATTACTTTAGTCCAATCATCTTTTCACCCTTTTGCTGTGAGCCAATTAGCCTCTGCTTCGCATGCTTTAAATCTCAGCTCTCCATTGTTCTTTTTTTAGACTTTTTTTGTGCAGCCTGCCTCCTCCCCATCTCCACCTCAGACACCTCAGACAGAGCTCTATTCAAACCTCAGTCTTCATCTTCACCACCACCACCATCTAGACTCCAGGGGGCCGTGTCCTAAATCCTATACTGGTCCACTTGATTGTCATAGTTTATTAGTTTAAAAAAAAATAAATATTATTATTATTATTATTATTATTATTATTATTATTATTTAGAGTTATTAAAATCAGAACAGACATGACCATGGAATGGGAAAGATAAAAGAAAAGGAAAAGGAGAAGTTGGGAAGAAAATTAACAGAAGGAGAAAAATGGAGGAGAATAAGGACAGAGAGAAAAGACACTGAAAATGTCACGGGTCTGGGTCCGTTGGACCCAGTATGTGAAGTTTCATGTTTTTGTTATTCCATGTTTGAGGTTATTATGTTTTGGTTTTAGTTTGCATCAGGGATTGTTTTCTTGTTCTCTTGTTGTGTTTATGATGATGATGATTATGATGTTTATTATTTGAGTTTCATGTTTAAGGATTTGTTCTCGGTTGTATCTCACGTTTAGTTTAGTTCACATGTGTCATTCTGTCTGTCTCTCAGTGTCAGGTCTGCGTCTTGGTGTGGTGTTCTCATTTCCTGTTTTATTGTGAAGGTCTGGGTCTCATGTGAGTGTGTTCAGTTTTACCTCTGTCTCGTCTTGTTGATCATTGCCAGCTGTGTCCACCACCTGTGTGTAATTCCCCTGTGTTTCTCTGGGTGTATTTAAGTCATGTCCTCCGTTATTGTAGTTGCTGGTCCGTCTGTGTATTCCACCCTGCCTCATCTGCGTTTCTACCATGTCTCACCCGTGTGTTCTCCCTGTTGTCTGCCGTTAGTCTCTTCTGGTCGTTCTCGTTAAGGTTTGTGCTCTGTAGTTTAGTTGATCCCAGTATAGTTTAGTTCTAGCTCCATTTGCCGTTTGTATTTACTTTCATGTTCAATAAACTACCTTTACACCTTCACGACTGCCTGCATTTGGATCCTCCTTCATTTCCTCCACACGGCTCACCTCACTCGCCGTGACAGAAAATCTGCTTCAACACCTTTTTGAAATAAAGATGTATTGATAAAAATAAATATAAGCAGCCAAGTACATTTGTTTTTAACCAGAAAATATTTTAGGAAACGGTTTGTGAGCTGTCAAGGATGATGCACACAACCAAATACAGGATTTAACACCTGGCCCTACAGAAGGAATAAAAGTGGTGTTGTTGATGATTTGACCATCTTAAATGTTGTTAGTCTTTCATATTCTGCTTATGCTGTAATGCTGATGACTTAAAGACAGAAATTATAGTCCACCAACCAGCTGCTGACATTATTGAGGTTATGTGTGAGAATAAGTTAGAATACATAGATAACTCTGTATCCAAAGGACTTAGAATGTCTTTCATATTTACTGACAGTCAGGAGAGTCAGGAGAGACTCAGATGTTGCCTAAGATGCCTTTTATTTTTTGGATTTCATGAACTTACTTTATCCCTTTGAGTAATATTTAGAAACACATGTTCATATGGCAATATAAATTCATAGGTGGTAGGTCTATGTTGTCCTTCTGCTTAGGAGCATAGCTATATTGTATCCAGTAGCTTGCACATGCTTATCCTGTGGCTGTACCAAGTAAACCATTATGCAAATTGTCTGTTATGTTCATTTACCTACAGCCATCGTTGTCAACTCCCCATACTGTCTCCGCTGGTGCAGTTGAACCAAACTTGTTGCATTAAAATCACTGAAGTGATTCCCAAGACTCTGGCATTTTTATTCAACTGTGATACAAATTTTGCTCATCTCCTTTGACTTTTAACCCAACAACACAACAACAAAAACAACAATGCACTGTGTACCAATCAAATGAACTAAGAGAGGCAAAAGGGAGGTCAGGCTGGCAAAGGGAGGACCCAAACGAGGACTTCCTATGTAGAATACAGTGTGTTTATTTAGAGTGAACAAATGACAAAATGCAAATAATCCCCAGTGCGTGCTCTCTTGTTCCCTGCTCCCGTGCTATGACTTCTCCCAGTGTCCGTGGTGAGTATTTCTGCTCCTTTCGTCTCGGTATACTACATGTTCCCCTCTTTCCACTCGTTTCTTCAATTCTCCTGGAAACAACAAAACAAATATTGTTTCCATAGAACTTTCTGCCAACCAAGTTTAATAGGACTTCTTATTCAGCTTGTCAGATCCCTTATCTTCTGGTGAGGCTGATGTTCAAAATATTGCTGCCTCAATTTGGTTTAGTTTAGCTAAAGTTCTTTTAGCTGTGATGTTCGTGGAAATAGGCCCTGGCAGGGTCTTCCAAAGCAAACTGATCTCCTGGAAGAGGCCAGAATAATCATAATTCAAAAACTTCCCAATAAATCTTAGATACTTTGTCTTAAAGTGGGTAATCAGGGCCCCCTAGTGGGGCCATACCTAGCAAGCATGGGTCTTGGTCAGGTACAGTACAAAAGAAGTAATCATTTTCTATATGACTTATCCATCTATCGAAGCTATCTAAACATTTGCTATATGAAAAGTAACTGTCCAATGGCCTTGCCACCATTCCTGTAATAGGAATGGTGGCTTTCATGAGTCTTTCTCATGACAGCAAGAACTGCAATTACTCATTCTCATCTCTGTGATGGAATTTTTCAGTGAAAAATGTCTCAGTTCAGCATTTTTAAGCTGTTTGTTGAACCATGTTGAATCATTACTGACCTCAATTGGGGCGAGTGAGGCCTGCAGTTGTTTAGATATTGTTCTGGATTTTTGTGACCTCCTGGATGAGTCAGCAGGTACAGCCTGCTCTGCACTTTCCTGTAGAGGGCGTCTGAATTGTGAGTCCAGTCCAGTCCAGTTTATTGTTCAGATAAACACCAAGGTACCTGTAGCTGTCCACAGCCTCAATGTCCATACCTTGGATGATATTTGTGCCTGCGGAAGTCTACCACCAGCTCCGTGGTTTTACTGGTGTTGATCTGGAGGTAGTTCAGCGGGCACCAGTCCACCCTAACCCTCTCCTGGAGTAATTGTGGTAGGTGGGCCAAACCTGGGAGGCTTCACCACTAATCCAAGTTTTTTTCATTTATGGATAATTGCTCTCACTGTGGTTTGCTGTAGTCTCAAAGCCTTAGGAATGACTTTGTAACCATTTCCAGACTGATAGATGTCAGTGAATTTTGTTTTTCATCTGCTCTTGAGATATTTTAGATTTTGGTATGATGTGTTGATTTTTGAGAGCTTTGGTAGCCTTTCCAAACAAGTAATACTTGTTTAGTTATTTTCCAAATGTACTGTCATGAACCTTAACATTTAAAATGTTAACTGAGGCCTGTAGAGTTAAAGATGAAGCTGTTTTTGTTTGTTGTTTTGTTTTGCATTTTATCTGAGCATTGCACAGGTGGACCGTGAAGTGATTTTGCAGGAATGTCCACTCTTGCGAAGAAAGTCAACTTTTTTCCCCCACTTGTGAATAACCTTTCTCACTGTAGAATAACTGACTTCAGTTTGTTTGGAAATGCCCTTGCTATACAACCATTCCCAGACTGACGGGCAGCCACATCTTCTTTCAGATTTTCCTTGTCATGGTGTTAAAAATCCCCCGAATAACCCAAACTTACAAAACAGAAAAGAAGTGATCCGAAGAAGAACTATACTCGTGCACCACCTCTAGGCTCTGTTATCGGGTTGTCTACATATTGAGGGGGTCATTGGCCAATCACAGGCCTTTTCAGTGAAAAAGGGTTGTTATGTTATGTTGTGGCCTTTTTGCACCGACAGATGAGAGATTTTATCTGTGTCAAGACTCGCTCCGTAAAGTCGCACCCAAATCACTGGTAAATAGAAGTATACATTTATTATTTATTTGGATTCAGTTGGTCCAGTGGAAAATCTCCTGTGGAGTGGATCATGGGACATGACAGAGTGTCCTAAGAATCACTCAATGGGTTCCACGACCAGGTACAACCTTGCATCACTGCTGAGTGCAACACAGATACCACACATCCCTGGCTATTGTGGTTTCATTAAAGCATGGAAAATATTTTGCTAGATCAAGTTACAAAAACTAAGTTTAGCAAAATAAACAAAAAACTAAACGTTTGATTTGAGTAATATCGATTATGCTTGGTTAGGGACAGACACAAAGAGTACTTTGTCACATAGTTTTGGGTTAAATGTAACATGTTAAACAGACATTACATCTAAAGGTAATGAAACCAGCACAATCCATGACATTACTTAGCTTAAAAACAGTTACACATACACATTTTATGCAATACTTCATTCCTACACAGCAAAATCTCCAGTGTTAAATTAACACTAGAGAGTGCCTAGATGGGTCCACACCTCTGAGTGTTAAATACAACACTGTTGAGTGTTAAATTAACACTTTTGACAGTGTTATATGTTTAAAAGTAACCCAGTCAGTTTTGAAGATTAACAATGGCTAACACTGAGCAGTGCTGAATTTCTAACACTGGAAAATAACTCAAAATGTTAGAAATATTCCAGTGTTAGAAAATCAGCACTGCTCAGTGTTAGTCTTTGTTAATCTTCAAAACTGACTAGGTTACTTTTAAACATATAACACTGTCAAAAGTGTTAATTTAACACTCAGAGGTGTGGACCCATATAGACACTCTCCTCTAGTGTTACTTTAACACTGGAGATTTTGCTGTGTAAAAATAAACAAAGGACTGAAACAAAACAAAAGATTTGCCATACAATAATAATATTGATGTTAATGCGATGGAATACGATTCTGTTATCATATACAAATGCTGTTTCTGTTCATGGTTTCCATCCGCTGTCTGTTACAGAATGAAGGATTTATTTTCAGAGATTCCAATAGTATTTAATTATTCATTTATTTGTCTGACATGTTAAAGTTGGAACCTCTGGAGCAATGTAAAAGGCAATCGTAGGAAGTTAAAATGACGTTTAATCTTATTTGGTGAGCAAATGAGCAAACATGAAACTATGGCTGTTGTATAAATAATGAATTTAAAGAAAAAGAGAATACAATTTTTATGTAAATATAGTGGTAATATAGGTTGCAACTTTGTTTAGTTGAAAATCATTCATTATTCCTTAAACATGAATAAAAACAACATAAAATA